ATCCCCCAGCACTTTCCCCAAGGTCACAGTCTCACCTGCTATCACTTGTCCCCAAGGTTCAAATCTGCCATCATGCCTGTCTCCCAGGACGTGGCTCCATGGGGATTTCTTAGATCCCCAAGAGACGTGCTGCTCTTCTTGCAGGCACTGGGCTCCAGGAGCCTGTCCTCGGATGCAGGGTCCCCTCTGGAGGAGGGAAACACCTCTCCTGAGACTGCGTTTTGGTTACCCTTTGGTGACTGGTCATCCTTAGGTGGGTGAACACTGATCATGGGCAACGTGTGATTCAAGAGCTGTTGCCTCTAATGTCAAGAGGGGTCAGGATGGATGTCCCTATCCCAGGTTCCTTGGCCTACGTGGGAGGAGAGCTTGGATTGTTTCCTGTTCTGCAGGACCAGAGAGGGGCTCAGGAAGGCCTGCAGCTAAGCCAGTTTTTGGGTCAAAGTGCAGTTGATCTGGGATCAGAAACCTTGAGTTGGGGGCTAGACACATTCTGTGTGGTGTGTATTTTCTGTCCTTATTCCCCTTTGTTTTCCTTCGTTCTCCTTTACCATTAGGTGTCTCTGTCAACGTTGGCCTGTGCTACTGGGAATAGTGGGGGAGGGTCTGGTCTTTGTTCTTAGACTAGAAAAGTAATGGGGGTGGGGAGATACACCACGCCCACCAGGCTTCTTTATGCTTTGAGCCACAGAAGTAGGCTGAGGGTCCCCAAGTGGAAGGCAGGCAGACTGTGGTGCTGGCATGACTTTTGCCGCATGTTGCACAGCGAGTCAGGGCCTCAGGTGGTCAGACTCAGGGCTCTGGACTCTCATTCCAGTTGCTCGCTCCCTGAACCATGGTTCCTTTGCAGGTGGCTGCAGCAGAGAACACTTTGCGTTTCCTCCTTTGTGTGAACTGTGTGTTAGATACACACCAGAGACAAGGATTCAGGGCAATGGGGCTGGGACCAGCAGTGCCAGGAAAAAGCTAAGAACTGTTTGCTCCGGTGCCTGGGGCACAGCAGTGGGTATGGGCAGGGAACCAGATTGCAGAGGGGAGGAAAGAAGAGAGCAGATGTAGCGCGTTCTGCATGCACGTACTGGACAGTGTGCACATGCATGTCCCGGCCACAGGTTTTTTCCACGCCTGGGAGGGATGAACAGGCTGGTCTGAAGATAAGAAGGAGGTCTGAGTTTGGGGGGCTGTGCAGTGAGACAGGAAGGAGGTGGTCCCCTGGCTGCTTTGTCACTCTTGGAGGAGAAGGGAGACATGGGAGCCGTGGGGAAAGAAGCCAGCATCCCCCCTCCTTATGGAGACCCTCCTTTAAGCTGCCAGCAACCACAGGAGGGAGGTCTGTGAGATGGGGAGATGTTGGCTGCTGGGGGATGTGAAGCTGGCCCAGCTGAGAGAGATGACCTTGAAAGAGAGGAGAGGCCAAACTGAGTTGGTATCTAGTGTGGGGGAGAGGGGAGGGGCAGGCAGGAGGAAGGAGAAAGCTGAGAGATCCAGACAGTGGAGGGGGCAGGGCAGAGCCTCGTGCACCTCCTGTCTGTCTGCCTCCCTCCTTCTGGCCGGAAGCAAGAAGGACACAGATGGGGGCGTGTGGGTGCTGGGCTGTCCATGCGCCTGCTGGGGTGGAGGCAGAGATGGGGGGCAGTGTGTCCTTGAGTCCTGGGGTTTTCCTGAGCTGAGATTCGCAGAAGCTGCCTTCTCCTCACTACCTCCTGTGCACCATCAGGATGCAGGCCCACAGCCCTGTGGGTGGCACGCATTTTGCCAGTCTGAGAGAGGCTCTCTCTGTTCCTTGCTCTTCAAAGAGCTCTTGGGGAGTGGGGAGGGGGATACTAATCCATTGCTCCAGCAGCTGGTGATGGGATTTCCATTTCTCTTGCAGGAATTCCCAAGAAATGATGGCTGTCTCCCCCCATCTCCCTTGTGCTTCTATATGTTAAGTCAACTTTCCCTTGAACAAATCACTTAGCCTCCCATTTTCTATCTGTAAAGTAGAGATAATACTACCGTCTGCAGAGTTATTGGGACCATAAATTCAATCCCATATATCAAAGAGGTCTATCTGTAAAGTGAGAATTTACAGCATAAGCCTAAGAGATTGTTATTCAGGGAGGAAATTCAAGGGGAAAGGAAGGAGCAAGGCAAGGTCAGGGTGAGGAAACACTCCCTGGCTCCTGAATGGATTTAGCTCCAGCCCCTCCAGCAGCCCCTCCCTCCCTCCATTCCCTACCAGCCTCTTCCTGCCCTGGGCCTGGCTGTGGAGTTGTGGACGGGCAGGTGGACCGGCAGTCACTGCAAACTTACCCTGGCCTCTTTGCCTCCTCCCACAACAGTCACAGAACTGGTCAGGGCGCCTGCCTGGAGCTAGAACCACCCTGAGGCCATGGGGTGCAACGGGGTGTGGGGGAGGTGCTCCCCTTTGCTCAGGGCTGGCAGGAGGGCCACCAGGGAGCCACCCAAGAGCAAGGGTCCTCACCAAGGTTGCTAAGGTGGAGCACAGGTGCTGAGTGTCATTAAGGACCTGGATGAGTGAGGCCAGAAAAGACTGGCTCTTTGAAGAGGTGGATTTAAATCCCCCTAGCACTGCCCACTGCATCAGCAGTGAGGCCCCTTCCCCACCTGACTGGACCCCCACAGCCCACTCCTCTCTGCTCTCCCTTTTTTCCTCAGGGCTGGTTCACACCCGTCTTTACCATTCCGCCGGACAGGAGACCCTCAGTCTGGATAAAGAGGTGCTCTCTCTTTCCCCTGCCAGGTGTCCGACCCTAACTTCTTTAGGTCCCTGAGAAGAGCCCCAGCTCCTTCAGTCAAGATATAAGAGCTGCTGGGAGCCACTTGGATTTCTCTTCCCTCCCCACTCCCTGGATCATGGGAGGGGCCGAGGGACAGATGCACTATTTATAATTTCTTCAGGGAGGCGGCCAACAAGGGCGTTCTTTCTATTCCTTGGGTTTCCCTAGCCAAAAATGGGGCATTAGTTAGGAGACAGCTGCAAAGGCAGCAGGCCCTTGGGGAAATCCTACCCAGCACAGCAGCTGTGGCCTCAGGAAAGGAGCCTGTCTACTTTGGCTGGCCTTGAAAGTAGTGCCTACATTGAAGTGTGCTGTGAGAGCAGGACTCCGTAACCTGTGCTTAGAGGGACCTGGGTTTGAATCCTGGCTCTGCCACTTATTACCTGTGTGAATTTGGGTACCACACTTTCACAAACTTGTTTCCTCATCCACAATGTGGAGATAAACATCTCTACTATCTAGAGTGGTGGTTGGGATTAAGTGAGTTGATGTGCATAAAAACTTCTAATACAGTGTCTGGCAAATTCCAGGAGTCCAGAAATTGTGAGTCCCCTTCTCCCACAGTAGAACAGGGGTCAGATGACTTTCTGTATTTAGCACATATTAACCTTGGGGCATATGGGTATGATGTGGCTTCTAGCACACGGGAGCCCCAGTTCTGGAAAATTTCTTCTGTTTTTTCCATTGGATTGTTTCAAATCAGGGTTTCTTGCACTTGCGGATCCTGAGGTTTCCAACTGTTGCATGCCTAGGCCTGGTCACAATCAAATACAGTGGGATATGGAAGAGGATGGGACTGGGGGATGAGAGAGAGCGTGCATGTGAGAGAGATAGAGAGAGAGAGCAAGAGAGAGACAGAGACAGAGAGAGAGAGAGACAGAGAGAGACAGGGAGCCTGCTGGGTCCTGGAATCCTTGGGTCCTTGGGGAGAGGGAGGGTGAACACAGCAGCAACTGTACCAGGCCGCTCTCACCGCCTTTGAGACTTCCCACTCCTAGTTTGCAGCCTGTGTGTGGAGTCTTCTCTAGTTCTCAAATTCTTCATCTGAAGAATGTGAATAATGATCCCTGACTGGTCTGCTTACAGGACTGTCCGGAGCACCCACAGTACTTGGAGAGGTCTAGACACAGGTGGGGGAGGTGGATGAATGGGTTCCCTTCCAGGTGGGCCCCAAGACACACCTGTTCCTCCAGACTTGGGGACCACCTGGGGCCTTGAGTGGTTGCCTTAGCTAACTCCTATTCCTTCAGCTTTCAGCTTAGACATTGATTCTTCAAGGTCTCCTGGACCCTTAAACTGTGTCCCCCTCCTGTAAGTTCTCATAGCGTTTTGAATATTCCTTTTACAGTATTTATCATGAGTTGAATAGTGTGGTTATTTGTGTGATTATTTGTTTCACACATGTCTTCCACACTCGACTTTAAGCTCCATGAAGAAAAGGAGTATGTCTATTGCATACCATCTGCACATAGCAGGTAGGTGCTCAATAAAATCCTTGCTGAATGAATATATGAACTTCTGGCCTCACCCTTCTTCTATGCCCCAGTCAACACCCGATGCCAAGCACCGATCTATAACACCACCCTCCCTTGCCCAACATGTCCTTATAAGAAGGAGAAAGATGACATCTCTCTTCCCATTATAATTCAAGGGGCAAGTTGGCTAGATCATAGTTGCCCTTCTTCCCATTCGCCCAGTACAGCAGGCCCAGCCCAGGATCCAAGAAGGTTGCAAGGAGGTGAGTAATTGCTATATTTATTTATTTATCTTTGCACAAGGCTGCCCTCTGGTGGTTAAACATCAAGAGAGCATGGCTAGGAACCAGCTGGCTGAGCCACCCGTGCTCAGAAGCTGGTCACTGAACCAGGAACAGGTAAGTGCTACAAGGAGGCATCCGGATGAAGATTCATGTCAGTTCTCCATCCTTATGAATGGCTCCCTCCAAATCTAACAGGAAGCCCTGGCACAGGAAAAGTAAGAAAATTTTAAAAGCCCCACAGAAACCCCACCCTACCCCCAGTGGGGTGGCCTGGAAGTACGGGGAGGGGTAGTTTAAATAGCTCTTCTTTTTCCTCAGTGGTGTGCTAGCAAATGTGCTAGCAAATGCTTAACAACAGGCTCTCTCTCTTTCTCAAAAAAATCCTAATGTGTAGTGTTTACCGACGTGCGTGGTGTAAATACTCCCATCATGGCCAATTTCAAACTACCAATGTGATGTCACTGAAAGCAGAGCTGGGAAGAGATGGGCAGCAGTAGCCTGTCATTATATAGTAGTTCCACCACACAGGTACCGTGGACGTAAGTAAGTTCAAGAACATGATTAATAGTAAAACATAGTAAAGTAATTGGGAAGTGATGAGTTTGAGTATTTATTACATTTGTTTTCAACATATCTAATTGTGAGTTTATATAATTTAGTTTTTAATAATGGCTGTATTTAACAACTGGTTTGCAAAATTCTGGAAAATTTTAATGATCAGTTATTGAGAGCCTAGTAGTAAGAGCTGGCTCCAGCACGCCACTGCTTCTCCCCACTTCCTCCTTCTCTTTCTGTTCCTCCTCTTCCTCTTACATGATTTTCTTGGCATTCTGTATGGGTAGGAGGGATGGGGGATATGGGAAAGAGTTTTGCTGCAGACGTCGCTATTCTCTGAGCCAGGCGCCATAAGGTGTTCAGGAAAGAGGATGGAGAAATACAAATCTGGCTCCTGGAGGACATTTCCGTGTGTGCGTTGGGGGAGGGGTGTGTGTGGAGTTTTGCAATTGCATCTTGAGGATGATTAGTGCCGGGATGAAACACCACTGACAGGGATCGGGCCCTGTGGCCCAGGAGGCCCGTGCCCTTGGTGGTCCTCCAAGGGCTCTTACTTGGGAGCAGTGGAAGGGGTGAGCTAGGTGAAGCGGCCTGTGGGGAGCCGAGGCAGGCAGAAGTAGGCACTGGGGAAGAGGTTCAGGTTGATGGGATTGCCGTCCAGGCGGATGTCTTCCAGCTGCCTCCGCGTGTGCTTGTGCCTCTCAGGGTCACAGAAGGTGTCCCTCTGCATGGTCTCTATCATGTTATTCTGGAAAGAACACACTGACAGCTGCAAGCCTGCTCCGCCGGGAGATTCTGCCCTCAGGCCGCACTGAAGGCAGGCTCAGTGTGTTCTCCCTACCAGCTTGCCTCCCCTTTACAACTGGAGAAGCCGAGGCACAGAAAGCCAACGTCCCATGCAAGGAAAGAGGAGAGGAGACCATTGAGGACGGATGGAGAGAGAGGGGAGATTGAGAGGGAGGAAGGGAAGACGGGAGACAGAGGGTAAGGGAAGGGGGAGAAGGAACAAGCAATTGGGTGAGATGGGATAAGGACATGGAGGGGAAGTGTTGCAAAGAGCAGGAAGGGGAAGAAATCAAACTGAGTCTGTGGACAGTGGTCTGAACAACACCTACCAATCCTTGTCTCCCACGAGCTCTCAGTGACGTAGACCCACCGCTGCCTAAGGGGGCAGGCTCCCTGCAATCTGACCTCCGCTTTCTGTGCTGTTCAATGCCCTTGCTCTGGGGAGGCCGCTCACCTGCAGGTGTAGTGAGCGCAGGCTTAGGGGCAGGGACCTGGGGATGGAGTCCAGCAGGTTATCGGCCAGGTAGAGGAACTGCAGCTTCTCCAGCGCCTGGGGAGGAGGCAAAGGGTGCGTGAGGCTGGTGGGTGCTGTGGGGCCCTGGCAGTGATGGGTGGCTGATGTGATCCCATTCACTCACTCAGGGTCTCCCGGGCCTCAGCCAGGTGCCAGGTTCCGCGCTGGGTGCTGTGGGGGAGGCCCATTTCCTCCCACTGGATGCAGAAGGAAAAGCTGCTGCCACTGAGGCACCGGCAGCTGGGGGAGTGTGAAGGCACTCGGCAGTGTCAGTGGCGACTCTGGGAAGAGCAGGCAAGGGGCAGGGATGGGTGGGAGGCAGGACGCAGGACATTTCGGCCCAGCCTCAGCATCTCTGCTATCAGAAGGGACTTTCCCAAATGAAAAGTCTCCAGATGCTACATCTGGAGCAGCTGTGGAGAGCATGGTCGGGAAACACTCGGACCAGCGTAATGAGAGCCACAGGCACAATGGAAGCAGATTGCATATGTGAGTGTGACAGAGCTGGGGTGTCAATTTCATCCACACCCCTCTTCACTTCCTCACTGGAACTGTCCCCAGGACTCTTCCTGGCCCTGCTGAGTGGGCAGCCCAGGGGGCCATATTTGTGCCATGTGTTGAGCCCTTCCCATCAAAACTGGCCAGCCAGTGACCAGATTTTCTCTCTTGAGAATTTGCTCCTAGAAAGACAGTGATCAGTCAGTTAGTGATGGGTTTTGGAAATAAAAGAATATGTAGAGTGAGAACTGGAGCCAGTACCACTGCAAGTCCAGTCACATGTAAGTCAAAGTTTTAGGGGAGCAGAAACTGAGTGTGCGAGGATGTTGGTGCACAGAGAGGTGACTGGGCAGTTGCACAAAAAGAAGCCAAGAGACCAGGTGCCCCACAGAGGGAGAGGGGGAGCTGCTGATGGTTTAGATGAGGAAAATTGGGTTTGATTTTCATGCCCCAGAACAGGGTTGGAGCAGAGATATCCTGTGAGGGCCATGTGTGTGTGTGTGTGTGTGTGTGTGTGGTTGTAGGCATGGGTGGCATGTGGTAGATGGGGGACTTAAGGCCCTGGCTCACCCTGAAGGCTTCAGGCTGTATCCCTGAGCTCTGGAGCTGGTTCAGGCGGATGTCCAGGACCTCAATGCCAGTGGGCAGCACAGGTAGCGCTGCCAGCTTGTTCTCAGGGAGGATCAGATCCTGCAGAGCAGGCAGCAGGAGAAGGGCATCGTCATCGATGGAGGAGATGAAATTGCTAGAGAGGTCAATCCTCTTCAGTTTTGCTAAGAGGTGCAGGGCAGAACACAGAGAGATGAGGGACATACCATCTTCCCTTGCTCCTGCTGGAGCTGCCTGTGCCCTGCTCCCTGCCTCTCAGGATAGGGGATGCTAGCCAGCTCTCCACCTGCACCAGGTCCAAACCAGAAGGAATAACTCTATAAATCTGGAAAAGCCCTCAGATTCTGTGATACCTTCCCCTGGAGTTCTGTCCTATGTGGATTGGCTTGGAAGAAGCTTTTTGAGGGTAAGACCCAACAGGCTCAGGAATCCCTGGATCCATCCCACTTCTACCTGTTAGTTTACACAAAAGAACAATGAGGCCCAGGAAGGCTGTCAGTAATTAGTGGAAGAATCTGGATTAGAGACAAGAGTTAACATGGCCTTGTCCAGAGGCCAGGACGGCAGAGAGCTACAGTTGCTGGGACAGCCTGAAAACGTAGGCTTGATCATACCTTCTCCTCCCCTGCTTCCCATAGCTTCGGGGAGAACATACAAGAACAGGTCACTTTTGCCATCTAAAAATCTTCAAGCAAAGGAATTAAAGAGACTGGGGCTATTTCTGTTTGATAGCTGGAGAGACTGAAAGCCAACAGGGAAAGGCACTTGGGCTGGTGACTGTTCAATGTGGCTGGGTGGCAAGGGAAAGAACCCTGGGGGTTCCCTCTGCCCACCCACTCTTTTCTGTTGCCAGGACATTACATACTCAGCCCTTTGAAGTCTCCAGCCCGAATATGACGGATGCGGTTGAAGCGGGCGTACAGGTAAGCGGTTGTCTGGGGAAGAGGAGGGATGTTCTCTAGGTCAGCATCATCACAGTACACAGAGGAACCAAGGCACACGCAGATCAGACAGGTCGGCAGGCCTGGCCCAGGTGGAAGACAGAACAAAGGGAGACCCCCCCTCCTCAGTCAGACTCCCTTCAGCCTCTGGGACCAATAGCCCTGGCCCCAGGGAGTGTCTGAGCCGTGGTTGTCTGTGTCTTCTTGGGTTGCTGCCCAGACCGACTGTCACAATGTACCCAGGAGTGCTGTTGGCCGCTGCCAGCCTGGCACTCAGCCCTTGACCTAAGAGAAGCAGATCCACCCTCAGTTATTACCCGTTACAATCCAAGCCCATTAGTGCCTTTATCAGACCCTGGTCCTGTGTAGGTTTTTCTGGGCCTATGTGGGCGTTTCTAGGACATCTATCAGTCTCTTTTCCATAGGGCTCCCCTCTGGTCCTAAAAGGTGCAATGAAGATGAAATAAAGCCAAATTCAGTGGAATGGCCAATGGCTGCCAGCTCTGCCATCTGCCTGGTGGGCGAGGAGTTAGACATGTTCTGTGTGGCTCCGAAAAGCATAATAGAGCCAAGGTGGAGTGTACACTGCCTGCCCAGGATTCATTTCCCCTTCTCATCGTTATCAGCATCTCAGTTTTCTATTGGAAAACATCCCTCCCCTGTTCTCAGTCCATGACCAGTGGTCATGAGACTTAGGCCAGACCATTGAGCTCAGACTGGCTTTACAAAGTTGGGAAGGTTTTACTGAATACTGCAGGAGGTTTCCATCCCTTGTTATTAGAAAGAACAGAGGTTACTGGAGATCACTGCTCGTCCAACTCAAGAGGGAACTCTGTTGGTAGTGACACAGACCCAAGATTAAGAGATAGCTCTTCTTCACCAGTCGTGACCAGTGTACTTATCCCCAGGCCTTGAATGGCAGGTCCAGCTGAGGCCCTTTATGGTCTCTTTAAGCCTGGGACATCATGGATTCCTGACAGAAGTGTTTTCTCTACAGGTGCCCCATTACCCTATACCCACCCAAGGCAAACATCTCAAGAAGAGAACAGGAACCGAGAGCAAGCAAGTCAGGAATTAACTGCATCCTCCTCTGCCTCAGTTCTGAACCCCAGCAGAGTGTCAACCCCCTACCGGCGGATATGCCAGCATACCAGAGTCTCCAGGAGGGCCTCAAGGAGAGGGAAAAGCTGCTAACGAGGGAATTCAAGCTGAAAAGCAGTATGACTACTTCATTTGCCCCCATGCCAAATGACGGCCACAAAGTTATTTATTCTTCTCTACAGGCCTTTAATTGTCTCTAATCTAATTATCACTCAACCTGCTCCCCCAGCGACGCTATTAATTAAGGTAGGTGGCTTTTCTAGGCACAGCGGAGTTCTTGCATTTCTTTGCTTCCTATCCAGTTTGTGCACTCAGGAAGAAGCATTAGGAACAGCCAGGCTCTCCCTTTGTTTTCTTTTTTCCTCCCCTGCAGCTGTTTCCCCTTCTCTCCCTGATCCTCCACTCCACATAGCTCTGACTGCACTCCTCTTTGGCACCCCTGGTGCTGGGTTATGGCTGCCGGCCCATGACCTGTGGCTATTGAGACCTGTGCCTGTGAACTTACCATGGCTGGTCAGGGAAACCAGCAGGCCCCGCGTCGTAGGCCTGGCCATTGTGGGGTTTGAAGGGGGTGTCCTTGGAGCCCTTGTGCTCTGAGAGAAACTTGTCCTGGTTGGAGAAGCCAGGCTGGTCCCTTTAACCTGGAGACACAGTATACAGTAAGCCAGCTTTGAGGGGCTGAGAGGGACTTCACTTTGGATTCTGGGAACTTCAGCGACCAATTTCAAGCTTGCAAAGAGTCACTGTGGAAAACGAGGGAGGGACGGCAGGAAGAGTGAACAAGGCAAGGGCCTTCTGAGCATCTGGTCCCTCATCATGACGTGGATGAGGAAACTGAGGTCCAGATGGGGAGGGACTGAGCTCAAGGGGCCGTCTGGTGGCAGAGCCAGAACCACATCTCCAGACCCCCCAGACTGGGCTTTTCCCTTGCCCGCACAGACCAAGGTCAGACAGCAGATGAGTGCAGACTTCAGATCAGTCCCTGCAAAGGCCAGAAAGGGCTGAAAAATGAATTTCAGAACTGAAGATAGTCTAAGAAAAGACAGGTTGTAGCATTCCTTTTTCCAAGGGAGAATGTGAGGACATTGCTGTTGTCCCAGTGAGATACACCTTATGGTCTTGAAGGCAGAGGGAAGGAGGGATGTATGACTTCTAAGGGAAGTCCCACAAAATTTGCTACAAACAGACAAAGAACTTGAAGTTTTGTGTCCTCTTTCTTAGTATTATCTAAACGACAAGTTCCTGTGGAGGGATAAGAATTTCCACCTCCTAGAGAAAGTTGGAGGCTTGAGATACCTGCATTATGGAACAGGTAGAGAGGGACCAGGCCTCAGGCTCCCAGTTTCTTGCAGGGAATGCAATGGGTCTGCTGCATGCCCCTCACCTTGGGGAGCTGGTCCCTGTAGTCTGTGAGTTCATCATAGTTGCTCAGGTCAATGACTTGATCGTAGTTGTCTAGGCTCAGGACATAGTCCCCCAGTTGCAGAACTGCATAAGAATCGCCTTCTCCGTGCGGCTGGTCTCCTTCCCTCTCCCTCTCCGTCTTTGGGAGAGATGCTGTCCTTGCTTCCTGCAGCATCAGGGCCAGCAGGCTGAGTAAGGCCAGGAGCTTCATGGAAGTCCTGGCAGGTGGGGGATGGGATGAGAATGGGGCCGAATCACTTAGGTATCCAGTCCTGGGGGAACAGCTCACAAACTCACCCCACTTCCCACCCCCACACTTGCAGACTCTTAAGCCATTTGTCACACACTTAGTGCCTTCATTGCATGTGCAGGCTCCTTCAAGGCTGGGGCTACATCTAGGGGGATATCTCCTGCCAGCCCCCCTCACTGCTCGCCACTTCTGTCTCTTCACATGCTCATCCACACACTGATATTCACTCACGCAGGAATGTGCAGGCACCTGGCAAAGGCTCATTTACTTAACACACACACACTCATGCATGTCCCCTTGTCTACATATGTCCCTACTAACTAGGCACACACTTGTGAATTTACACAGATGTTCTCTCTTATACAGCCACCCACTCAGTGTACAACCATTAGCCACTAAACTAGATTCAGAGAAACTTCACCATTAAGGAATCCTGTGGTTTTTAAAAAGATCATTCATTCATTCATGCCTTTGCTTGACAAACATTTATGAGATATCTTAATAGTCGCAGGCACTGGATTTGTCTCTGGGGGCACAGAAATAAATAAGGCATGCCTAGTTCCAGGAATGACTAGTCCATTTAGAGAACATAGGCTTAAAAATTGATTACACTGTAAAAAAGCATGTTAGTTTTAAAATCTATTTATAAATGCAGCTTTTTAGAAACAAATGATTATGGAAACGAAAGAGCTCTTTGTGTTTGGTTGTACACACTCGGAAAGTTCCTTAGGTTTCTGTGTACAGGTGAATTCAAATGTTCATCCACATATGCACAGATGGGTCAAGGAATGTGTGCAGTGTGGATGTGAGGTACCCAGTGTATTTCTGATAATGCAGCTCTCCCCAAAGCTGGCTACACAAGTCTCTAGTAGACTCTCCCTCTTTTTTTCTTCATTTTTAAAAACTGAAGTATAGTTGATTTACAATGTTGTGCCAATCTCTGCTGTACAGCAAAGTGACTCAATTATAAAAAATATGGGGCTCCCCTGGTGGCACAGTGGTTAAGAATCCGCCTGCCGGGCTTCCCTGGTGGCGCAGTGGTTGGGAATCTGCCTGCCGATGCAGGGGACGCGGGTTTGTGCCCCGGTCCGGGAGGATCCCACATGCCGCGGAGTGGCTAGGCCCGTGAGCCATGGCCGCTGAGCCTGCGTGTCCGGAGCCTGTTGCTCTGCAGCAGGAGAGGCCACAACAGTGAGAGGCCCGCGTACCGCAAAAAAAAAAATAAATAAAAATCCGCCTGCCAAAGCAGGGGACACGGGTTCGAGCCCTGGTCCCGGAAGATCCCACATGCCGCGGAGCAACTAGGCTCATGCGCCACAACTGCTGAGCCAGCGTACTGCAACTACTGAAGCCCGCGCACCTAGAGCCCGTGCTCCGCAACAAGAGAAGCCACCACAATGAGAAGCCCGCGCACCGCAACGAAGAGCAGCCCCTGCTCACCGCAACTAGAGAAAGCCTGCGAGCAGCAACAAAGACTCAATGCAGCAAAAAAAAAAAAAAAAAAAATATGGAAAGCTTCACGAATTTGCGTGTCACCCTTGTGCACGGGCCATGCTAATCTCTGTAGCGTTCCAATTTTAGTATGTGTGCTGCCAAAGTGAGCACGCTCCCTTTCTTAGTTTTTGCTGGGTAATGGGGTAAGCCCCTATCCTAGCAAGAGGTGTCTCTTCATCTTACCTCCCATACGTTACTCCAAACCAAATTATATAATCAAAAAAATCTTAAAGCAAAAGCCCTAAGACAGTTTACTGCCTCCCTCCAACCTCAATCCCCTGTCTCAACCCAGACACCCCACCTCACTGCACCCCTGTGCTCTCCTCCCCACAAGCACTCTCCCTCATTTGCATACCAATGGGCCTAACCCCTCAAAGCCTTGAACCTTACCCCTGGAGACTCTTTTGGTTCCAAACGGAGGCTCACAACTTCCAGAGAGGTGGGGACTCTGATGGAGAAGTCATGACCCACGGAGGGGTCTGGGTAGACTGTCGCCTGGGGAAGGCAGGGGAGCCAGCCAAGGCAGGCGTGTAGCCAATCAGACTTCTCTTTTTCCTGACGTCCAGCTGTTTCTTCTCCTCCTTCCTCAGCGTGTCCCTCATCCCACTCCTTTGCTTGGTTTGAAAGATTTTTTTTCTCCCTCCCTCCACCTCTTCTACTCTCAGCCCCCTATACGTACCCCTCTCCACCTCCCCTCATCTTTACCTCTCTTTCTCTGTCTGCTACATCTCTCTCTTTCTGGCCCACCATCTTTGAGGGGGCAGGTGGTTCCCACCTCCTGAGGGGAGACCAACCCCTCAGATTCTGTACTCTCCAAGAAGAGAAGGCAGCAGTGGGGCTATGTGGAGGGATGCGGCTTGGCTTTCCAGCTTTTTCTCCAGCCAGAGAGTGATAAGGCTTTGGCTTCATAGATGCAATCCAAAGATTAAAAGAGGCTCAGGTACTCCGACCAGCACCACTACCCACCACCTGGACCTCTGATACAGGACCATAAAGATCACCACAGGGAAAGAGATTCAAAGAGAAGGTGAATGGGGGATGGAGCAGGATTTGATAGCCAACTTCAAGCTCTCTGACGGTGATGGGGAGGAAGATATAGGAAATTCTCCCAAATCTATAAGATTGAGCCCTAGAAAAAACCTTCCTGATCATAAACACCAGGAGGCATTGTGTGGGGTCCTCAGGGGGCCGAGGAGACTCCCCCCCACTCCATGGTCCCCTACCAAAGATGCATGTGTCAGGAGAGACTCTCCTTTCCCTGGTGCCTTAGGTTGCTGCAGGGCAAGTCCTTGCTGAAGGCACGGGTAAGGGGCTAAGACATTGTCCCTAGGAGTCTGCCAGCCTGCATACATGTTTGCCAGGTTCATAGGTGAGGCTCCTCCATACTTCCTCCCACTAACCAGATACCGAATCCCAGCTGCATAGTTCTCCTTAGGATCATTTAATCCAAACCTTTCATAGTGCATGTGGGGAAACCGAGGCCCAGCAAGGTGAGGTGACTTGCCCAAGGTCACACAGAGCCAGGGCCAGGTCCTAGATTTCCTGATTCTCAGGCCAGAGAGTTCTCCTTTATTCATATGACCCTCCCCTTCTTTGCCTCACCCCTGAGGTCCTGAGGCCATGTATCTCCGTGCCCTCAGAAGAGATGGCCTTGGCAGAACTCATCTCTGCCCTGGCACAACAGGTGAAGGGTCAGAGCTAACAGCCTGGCCCCAGGGGCAGTGCTCAGCCTGCAGTGCTCCTGGGCACCAGCTGGTGTGGAGGGGGCTTCCCCAGCTCAAGAACCTTGTCACCAGAGCAACACTTGTTCCTGTGCCCCAGACAGCCCCCCGCGTGTGGAGAGACACGCAGGTCTCTGCTGGTGGAGGGAGGGAGCCCCTGGAGCCAGGAAGGTGCCCGGGAAGCAGAATGCATATGTGGCGGGCTGTCCTCTACTTTCTCTCTACAGCCTAGGCTCTGCAGCCAGAAACCCGAGCCCCCGCCCCGCCCCCCAGTCAGCCTGGGCGTCACCCGTCCCCACCCCCCACCATTGATTCCCTGCGAAGAATGCAGATGTGACTGTTCATTCATTCCCCCCTGCAGTCTGCTCCCACTCTCCTTCCCCGCTTTCTCGGTGACGCACACCCGCCAGCCCTCCTGCTCTCTGGGCTCTTATCGCTGTGCCCCCTGCAATCGGTATTCTCCCACGCACTCGGCCAGCTTGGCCAGATTTGCGGTCACGCCACGCATGCGCCGGCTCCCCCACCCCGGACCGCCCCCCCACCCCCGCCCCCGGCCCCCGGCCCCCAGTGGAGCAGCTTCTGATTTAGGCTGCACGTCTTAGACCCTCTCCCAGCTTCTGCTCTCGGTTTCACAAACACACCGGCACACATTCTGGTTACCATGGATTTCAGGGAGGGTCCATGGGATGTGTGTGTGTGTGTGTGTGTGTGTGTGTGTGTGTGACCTACGTGGGAACCGTCTAACGATCATGCTGTTCCAGGCAGCTCAGCCCCCAGAGAGCCCGGAAAAGGTGGCGCGAGGTGCCGGAGCTGGTCTAATCCGAATCTCATTAGGAGAAGCAGGAGGGCATGATGATGGAACGGAGGTGGCAGGCCCTGGGGACAGAAGTCTGGCCAGCTGACCCTGTTGCTTCCCTGTTCGTGGGCAGAGAGAGAGGCAGGGGTGGACGTTTCAGGAACCCTCCTGCTTTTTGGACAGCAAGGGTATATTCCCTGCTGAGGGCTTGTAGCTACATAACTGCACGGCTGGAACTCATTTCTCTTCCTCTCTCAGGCACACACACACACACCCCTCATACAGGGTAGACTCCATGTCTTCCAATCTTTTTCTCATGCTGCTTCCCTTCTTTCCTGTTTATGTGCTTTTTCCTCCTTCTCCCACCTGGCAAAATCTGATTCAAACCTTAAGATCCAGCTTAAATGATAGGAGCCATTCTGGTTTCTCCCAGGCAGAAGCAGAGGCCCTCTCCACTATGCTTTCTGTACCCAACATTATTGCAAACACTTAAGACATGCAATTACTAATTCATGGATTTTTCCCCTTATGAATTCCTCAGTGGCGTGGGGTATATATTACTTATCCTTGAATTCTTAGCTGGGAACCTTGCACGTGGTTGATATATGCTGAAAACTTGCTGAATTGAACTGAAGCAGGAAATTAGGGGGCAGGGTGGGAGGGGTGGGACAGCATCTGGCAGTTTTCATTCAAAAGAAGATGGTGTAGTCCGGGAGGATCACGGGGTTGGCTCTGGAACAAACCTTCCACCTGAAGAGAGATTCCAGGGTACCCTGTTTTAGCCCTTCTGTGAACATCTGCATAGCATGTAGACCATTCCAGATGATGTGGCTGGCCCTTTACTCACTGCCCTTGATACACCTCTGCCATTGTTTTGTGTATCTTACACTACCTGCCCTCAACTAGTCTGTTAGCTTTTCCTGGTCAGGAATGGTGTCTGTTTTGTGTCTTTCAGTACTGAGCATTTGGGAGACCTCAACAATTTGGTATGTGTGGGTTAAAAAGAACTTGGAGATTTGGGCTTCAAATGTAGCTGTCAGATTACTTGTCTGACTTTAGGGATTATTTTTGTAACGATTGTGAGTTTGGGGGAAATTCACCAGAAAAACTTTTGGAATCATTTTCCTAGAGCTTCTTAAGGATAGGATCCTTTCTCCACCAGTCTTCTCAGAGCAAGGAAGGTGGGAGGCCTGGGGAAAGGGGTGGCAAAGTGACTTTAAGGTACTATTCTCATCTGTTTACATTGTCAAATTCAAGCAGGGTATTTTTCATATAACTTTATTTTCTCTGCTGTGAAGCGTGCTGGAATGTCAAAGTTGTTGCACAAAGTTAATACGGTCTTCAAGAAAGAACAGATATATGTACAGAGTACACATACATACACACCTTCCTACACACCTGTATGTGCATATGTCAGCAGCACTGAGAGAATTAACTTGTATATGGAGGAGGGGGCTTCCTTAAGCCCAAGGGAAAACAGCACATTGTATGTGGGAGGGTGGTGCTGTAAAGCCAATTTAATTTCCTCTGGTTTACAGATACAGGGAGCAATGGAGGAAGCAGAAATATGCTAGATGCGGCAATAGGATGATGGTGATTTTGTTGCTGCTGAATCAAAACACTTCAGCTTGGCAGGAGCTGGGGAATGACCCCTCCTCCCCGGGGAGCCCCAGGAGCTGTGCTCCCCTGAGGGCCTCATCAGAGGGGCTGAGGGCGCAAGGTGGGGATAAGGTGCAGAAGGGGCTTATCCAGGCCATAGCAACAGGTTGCTTACAGACACAATAATATCTTGACTCTAAGCAGGAGTCTTGGAGAAACCAGCTGCAGCCTCGAAGAATGAAGCAGTTGTATGCAAGCATGGGGGATGGAGGCTGTAATGAAATGGGCCCATATTCTGTACATTAGCAAAAGGGAAAAATAAGAGTATAATGGGAATTTCTTGAAGTTAG